TAATGACTTTGTTGAGCCGGTATTCGAGTCTTAATTTATAGCATCAAAGCTTAAAATAATACCTGTTTCGTTTCGCTTCTAATTGGAAAAACGTTATAAAGCTATTTTAAATCAACGTTTTTAATAATTGTAAATTCTTCGTTTTTTTTCTCTTGACATTCCAATTTTTTTATTGCTTAGGAGGAATTAATAAATCAATATCGGGGGGGAAGGATTATACTTCCTTAATTCTAAATACATATTTTTCCTCTTATATATGTGCTTATATAGAGAATATATAAAACTAAATACATTTTCTTAGAATAAATTCATATTTGATTTTTTTCTGGAACAACGTAAAATTAAAAGCATATTTTTATTTTTTCAATTATCTTTATCGGATGAACATTACGTTTGTGAATAGTAAATCCAAAGAAAAATTTACTATCGCATCTTGGATACAAAGGTATTTATTCACATATTTGTCTCTTCTCTTTTATCGTATACTTTTTGGTAGCGAAAAGAACTCTGTCATGTCAGACATATTAAATAAATGTTAGACAGTACTCGCTGTACAGTTCGTATACTTGGCAATTTCAACTTCCGGAAAATGATGCTGCATGGGAAGGCAGTCGGCGAGGAAGGATCTATCTGGGGAACATAGTCTACCACACTTTATCTCCTTCTTATAAATGAAACAGGTTATTTATTATCCAATAAAGAGACACTCCTGGCACGCGGCACCCCGCTGGGTACTTTACGGGGGTGGCAACCCCTGACGTGTAAATATCGAGGTTTCTCTGCGTCCCTCTCCGGAGACCACTGTACAGCGTTCCATCTTTTACACTAGTTTTCGACAGCACATATTCCACATGCCGCATGAGAGAATCTCTAGTTAGAAGGAAGGAAAGAAGTCCTTGGTGGCCAATTTTTCGATCAATTATTTTAACATTCTGATCTCATGAGTCTACTTTATACGATCCAATAAATTAGCGGTTAACAGTTCGATACTAAGTATCCATTACTCAAGTTACTTAGTAGAGTATTAATTATCGAAAAACATGAGTTTGTAAAAGTACTTAATAAGAAATCCAGTTCTACATTTTTATTTAATATTTAGTAGTTTTTTTTATTATAAAAAGCAACATTTTATATACCTATTCAAATGTATATATGATAATTTTATTTATACTTTTTATTGGTAATTTGTTTCGTACTTTTTATTCCGAAAAAGTCACTTGTAGGCACACATGATACGATTATATTAAATTTCCGTTTTTCTTAGTTTTGTCAGATCTTATCTTCCGGATGGATTGTCAGGTGCGCTTTTATGTACCGCGGCATAAATGAAAAATTGTTGTGAAGCTAAGCCATACGACAAAATGGCCTTCATTAAAACTTCGTACGGCTTTATGGAGGCGACTAGCCAGAGGTTGTTTTGCACATGGTAGTGAGCATGTTGCGTTGAGACCGGGCAACGAAGCAAGCTGATATAGCCTATGTAGATTGCGAGATATGAAAATCCGGGATTATCAAACGCTTTGCCTGCCAAGCATGAAAGACGCGACAATTTAATCACATGCACTATAAAAAGATTCGCAAAGCAACCCACTATGCGAAGTACGGTCTCTTGGACTTTCTTGAAGCCATGATTTTTAAGGAATACATCCCGAGCATACGCTCGCATTCGCGCACACACGCGAAAACTTTTAACGAAGTTTCCGAAACAACTGATTGATTTTCTCTTAACTCGAGCTCGAGTTATTCTCGGAGACGTGCAACGCATCTTGATTATCGTTTCAGAGGTTGACCGGAAACAGCATATATTATTTCCATCTTTGTAGATAATTAATAAAATAATAAAACTAACATATAACGCTATCACACTAATGTATAGTGAATCAGGATTTTTAGTAAATTGGGATGTAACAGTAAATTGGAGTGATCTTTGATCCATTTTATTTCAATTTATTCAAAATCCTGACGTGCTTTGCAAATTCTGTCCGTAACATAGCATTCTACGCGAAAAAATCTCGGGGTATGTATACTATGGTATTTTGTAGAAAGAAAGAATTAACTTTGTCGAACAATGTAATTGGAGACATAGATAATGTACAAGGTGGCGCACAAAATTGTGTCATACTATTTAATTATTTTATTAAAACTATACTTGTGAAGTATTGATTTTTTAACTGTGTGAGTAAATTCTCGAGAGAGTTCATGGAAATTCTGTTAGGTGTGGCATCACGAATCCAAATTGAACGGTAAAAACGCACACACTTGTGAAATGGCGGATAATGGACTTAAAATGTTGAGCATAAAGTGAAAGTTGTGTTGTTTTTTGCGGAAACAAAGATTGTGGCAGAAATTCGGGGGTGTTCCGTTCACATTGTGCAGATTTTTGTCAAAAAGTAGTTTAGACGTTAGATACAAGGGCATAGCCTCTAAGAAATTGTGAGATAAAACGGTTATTTACATATAATTTATTAAAGACAATTTTCTAGGCTTGTGATTAATTCTATACAAGTCCTATACCAATAAAAAAATTAATGTTTATGTAAAGCAAGTATAGTATAACATTTCGTGCACCACCCTGTATTTCACGAACTATACGCGTCTTCACCTCCGTCCAACTCCGACTGTGTGAGCAAATTTTGTAATTCGTGGAAATTCCGTTAGGTGTGATGCCACACCTAACAGAATTTCTACGAAGTACAAAATTTGCTCACACAATAAAAAAAAAATCGATACTGTACAAGTATAGTTTTAACTAAATAATTACATGGTACGGCATTTCGTACGCCACTCTAAATGATGATACAGGTGATTAGAAGTAAATTTACTATAATAATTGATTTTAGGAATTATTGTGGAATTATTAGAAAAATTTGACATGACATATCTCAACTGGAATAAAATAGCAAATTAAGTCAGGATAAAATGAAAGTAATTTTGCAAAATTTGAAATTTAAAAAGAAGTTATCGAGCATAAAGGAGAACTTTCTTTCGCAGCGAATTAATGACTGCAATCCTTCGTAACCGTGTCATTCGGGACTTGCGCTTGAAGGACGCAGCAGATCATCTCTTCGGGATTATTTCGTCACGGATACTTCGCTCTTCTTATTTCCTAATTGATCCTATTAAGACGTCTTTCAAACAAGTTAGATTTCACGCACCGACGCTTCTCACGGGATGTTCATTTTGGCTAAACGGTAACTTCCGTCAATTCTTTACGAAAGAATTCTCGTTGTATTCGACAGAATAATGCTTTTCCCCGAATCGTGCCGAGTTCTAGCAACTTCCGGATCCGTCGCGATCCTCGACCGAATTTTCTTAGAGGAAGGCACGCAAGCTCTCTACTACTCGGATAGACTTCTTCGTTGTTCTCCATTGCCTTGTATTCTCACTACCCAGACACACTCTAGTATTTTCACGGATTGTGACTTATCCTCGATGGAAGCAACGCATACCTTCTATGCAATCCTCTTTCTCGGAGGCAGAGAAGCCAAGGTACAAGGCATGTTTGCATCTTAAGACGGTGAAAGGAATTTCGAAAAATTTGATAGCTATCTGTAACCAGGATCACGTCATAGCTTACGACGAAAAATTTCCATTTAATCGTGATCATCGATGTTGCATCTCACTAAAGAATTTCGAGGAATGGCAAAATGATGACATAATTTTTCGTTGAATGTATTTATCGAATTTTACAAAGTATTATTTTGTCAAGAATAATTACATTATAATCACTTAAATCCACATATTGAAATAGACTTTCGTCAAGAATATATGTATATAAAATATTGACTGAGTTATCTTTTTTTTTCATGTTATCAGACTAGCGTTCTGCGTTGGATTTCCTCTTGGACTTTTATCCGCTTTTCTCATTCTGCTGTGTAACTCTTACACGAATCCTATCTCCGTATTTTTCTTCACCCTTGACAGTCCCTTACTGAGCTCTCGGAAGTAACCCCTACCGGGCCGTTATACCACTACGAAACATCCAACCTTGGATCTTTCTTGGTATCTTCCTCTTCTAATATTTTCCGATACAGCTACATCTTGACGTTGAGCCAAAGTCGCGCGCAATATGTAATACATCCAATTTCTAGTTTTCTCTGGCCAATTCAACCAATTTCATTTAATGTCGCACAGTTAGAATATCTTACGGCAGATACTATTCGATCGTAATATATGTTTATATACGTGAATATTTCAAAACGAACACTATATATTCTAACAACAGATATTGGAAACCAATCGAAGAGCAAGTATCTATGTAAATTTAAATATCTATGCCATAATACTTCCCTGTAGAGATAATATTTAATTTTTTATTCATTCTAGGTAATTAAAAAAGAGCAGATTGATTCAAATTTATTATAATATTATTTATGATGTAACAATAAAATCTCTAATAAGCAATTGAATTTATTAAACACAAGAATGTTGACTAATTATCTATTGGGTAGTAGTTTCATTAAATGTATAAAAAATTTATTCAGTGACGATTCATAGCCGGAAATACTATTCCGAGAATGACGAACGCCATCAAATGCTAATGGATTCGGCCAGGGGTAATTCCGATCCATTATCTCGCTTGTAGAGCCTCAATCGTGCGGTCTGTTCAATTTATCCTTTTGTTTTCTTTCGCGTTCTGTTTTTTTTTTTGAACCGACTCCCTCTTCTCTTCTACCATTCTTTTTCCTTAATTCTCCAATTGTTCGCGGTCTATGATTCATTTAAGTAATTTCACACTGGTTTGTATGTGACTGTCATAAAATCTTCAGTAATATTTAAAATCACAGAATAACAATTAATCTTATTACAATCGGTACGATATGAAAAAGTAAATTAAGAACATAATTGTTAGATTTTTACAAAAGTAAAATTATTTTTCAGAAGTATCAATCAATATTTTTTTCAGAACACGATACTTCATGAGGATTAATATGATGTGAAAATATATATAATTAATAAGGGATTTAATGTTATAAAAAGTATAATTTTGTTTGTTCCAGGCTTTGGCCAGGATATGCCAGTGCACATAATAATCTTGGAACTCTCACGATAGACGATCAAGCGGAATATCATTTTCTAGCAGCTATTAACGCTCAACCTGGCCACGTAAATGCTCATTATAATCTCGGACGATTGTACAGGTTAGTGAATGATAAACATCCTCTCTCCGCGAAAGTGTATTATATATAACATTGCGGATTATCAATTATTAAAATAATTATTAACTAGTCTAGTCGTCGATAAAATTCATGAATTATATGATCATCAATTAATTATAAGAAACCGTTGCTTCTCTCTATGTGATAAAAGTATCTCTCCATCTCCTAGTTCACCGTTATATCAACGGGTTATCGATCCAACGCGAGCCGCGTTTCCGACGGTAAATTTAGCATGAACTGTAATTCCGGTGGCATGGTTAAAATTAAAGTTTAATTAACGTCTTCCTACTTGATAAATTAAAATTTAATTAAGGGCAGAAATAGGACATACGGTCGGCCAATGCGTGTATGCAACAATTTTCCGTTCATTGTGCGTAAATTGTGAAAACAAGTGATCTCATTTATTTCTCTTCCTCTTTCTGCCGAGAAATTTTGTTTGAAACCTGCACATATCCGATGAAATATTTATGCAACGACTAATTAAATATTTTTGGTTTCTCATTTGCTTTTACACATGTATATTCTGTTTATATCTTTCCTTTTTTATCTGTGATTACGTAACAATAGAAATTATGAAAACAAACATTGTTCTTGCCATTAATTTTTATTAAAAATATTTTACATAGCACAGATAAAAAAAACTTTTGACAAAGAGACATTTATTCGTTCTCTATAATATTGAATTCGATATTTAACTCATTCAGTAATCGGTCATAATTATTAACTATTTAATGTAATGATTTTTTTCACACCAATCTTATGTTAGCATAGTATATCAATTTAACATTTATGCAGGAAATGGAAAGTTACTTTTTAAAAATAACAAAGTTATCATTACTCATTACTGAATAGAAAAAGTAACAAGTTATCGTTACTACCGATTTTTAAAAGTAACTTGTTACAGTTACCATTACTTGAGAAAGTAACTTTTCGTTACTTTTTCATTACTTTCTTAAACTCGATGACCACCAATCACAGCGGATGGGTGTCTAGGAGTTTTCTAGTCCCAAGCGTTATGAGTGGCTTGCGTCCAATCGAATCGTGTCCAATCGTATGCAAAGTAACGATAAAAGTAACTGTAAAATTTGTTACCGTTACAGTTACCAAAAAACCTAACCAAAAAAATGTAACTACTAATGCGTGTTATCATTGCGAATGCATTACTCATGTTATTCACATTATTTATAAAGAAAATGTAAAAATATAAAATATTTTCTATTACTCTTGAAAATGTTCCGAATTTCGTTTAATTTCTATTATTTTTATTTCTTAAATATCGTTAATGTGATATACAGAATAACGGTCCCCAATTATTTTCTTCAATATTTCTATTTGTGTATCAATTTTTAAGAAAATAAAAAGAATTACAAAAATTCTAGTAAGATATAATTACAAATGTATATAAAAAGACTTCAAGGACTTTAGGGATAAACTTTAGGAAATAGTAGCTCTCACCAAAAGAACCAACTTTTGTTAATGAACCTGTGTCTTTTTCCCAACGAATTTATAAAAAACTACACGTTCTTGTTTAAACTGGTAGTAAGATACACAATCAATCGCGCGGCAGCATTGCGCGTGACGTCTGACAATACTAGTCCATGTGTTTGCTTTTCTGTTGGCTTTTTGTAAAAACAAAATTAAAGGAAGTGAACTATCATTGTCAAATGCCACACAGAACTGAACGCAAAGCTCTTTAAAAATATATCGGAAGATACTGGTTTCTTAGTAAAAACTGATTCTTTTGATGCTTTATCCTTTGAAATTTGTCTTCGAGATCCTGAAACACTCTCTGTATTATGTATTTTGAAAATATACTTTTATTGCGCACGCGTATCCATTTTTGCAAATTTAATTTTTGTCTTCAAACGTTTCCACAATTACATGGCGTATAAAATAATTCTCACAATCCAGAGTTGATTCATGTGAAGATTAGCAAATATAATGGCATAGGATATAATAAATGACAAATTTATAAAAAAACTTGCTTTGGAAATATTTTGAGGTAATCTAAAACATATTTAAGATAAATTAAACGGATGTACGTTCATATGAATGCTCTTTTATCAATTAATATTTCTTCTTTCCATTAGATGAAATAGTCGATGGAGCGATAGTCATAAAAAGCATCGCTCAAGCTACGGACGTAAACAGTAAAAACGGTATTGTCGATCAGCATTATTGGCGTCGGCATTCTCTGACAATTACCGAGTCTTTTGTCGGCGTAAAGTCGATTACATGAAAGCGCACGACTATAATTCAACCGGACGCGTTCGCGAAATTGCCGTTCAATTTGTACAGGAACGCCAAATTTATCGTGGTACCTTGCTCGTTGGTCTTTTCAACGTCGAGCCTTTACCAGCCTATCAACCTACTTTGAAATATATAGCATTTTCATCGAACAATAAAGCAACGCAAGCAAGAAATAAATATATCCATGACAGTAGTTAAAGCGGCTCACCTGACGATATTGAATGATTAAATATTCGAACGATATGCATGGAATTTATAATTAATGCTAATTGGAATTGAATTGTTCGTTATTAATTAAGAATAATAAATAACAATCTTCCAATTACATTACGTTTCTTTACTTATTTATTACGTTCTATTAAAATTGTTCGATCACTGTTTATGTATCTATAATACGCTGAAACGTTTTAAAATTCATTTATTTGATTCCATACAGAAAACAATTATAAAATTTATTATAATAGAATATTAAATTAGTTTTTTTTAAGAATTTATATGTAAAAATTTATGTACTAAAGTTGTCCGTATTAACTCAAGTAGCAAAGTGACACCAAGGGTGGGTTCGGAGAGACGCTATTAGCACTATTTGTGTCATTCTATCTTCATCGTCCATTAAACATGAAACAAGGACAGTATAACACAAATATCGTTGATAGCGCGCTGCCCGAACGCAGCCAAATGATGTTCTGACAGCGTCTTTATAACGTCAATAAGACGTCATTAAAATGACACCTTGCTACTCGGAAAATCCTACGTTTCGTAACGTCTAAATGTGTTTATATACGATATTTCACATTCGTAAAATTGTGCTTTTAGAAGAACGAATCGAACTGAACAGTGCATTGAGATGCTGAGGAGATGCGTGTCGCTGGATCCGGCATACGCACCGGCATTTAGGGTTCTAGCGAGAATCGCTACCGGTCCTGCAACAGGCGAGCTCCTGAGGCACGTAATTCACCTTCAACCACGAAACCCGGACGCTCTCGCTGAGTATGCTTACTGGTTATACAAGAACGGTGAGTTGCTAAATGAAATAAGCTTAGAGTAGTAAGTGGAAGACCTTCAAACCCCGGGTAGGAGAAGCACTACTTGTCGACAAAAGTAGAACAATCTCGGTCAGAGTTACCTGCAGTTACCAAGCAGTTCGCATGATCGCAATCCTAAATTTACACTCGCGGCACAAACTTGCTTCGTCTCTTTCAGGCAAATGGTTGCCCTCACTCCGATACTATTTCAAAGCGATGGAGATCTTTCCGTCGCACAAACCGTCGCTTATTGGTACGCTCAGGATTTTGAGGTCGCGAGGTCAGTGGTCTAGAGTACACCAGCTCATCATCAGGTAAGCATTCACATTCTATGTGCATGTGTATATCGTTGAAAATACAAAGTCACCATTACAAATTAGTAAAATTGCCTCGACCTACTCTATAGGGTTATTATATAAGAGAATAATAAGAGAATATAATGAGAAACTCTATAATGTTATTATATATATGAGTACTCTGTAAGATTACCTATTGAGAAGGCTGTACGAGAATAGTATCCACATGTTGCTTTCTTCCACGCATCTAATCATTCGCACAACAATAACGTTGAAATGGGTGAAAGAGTCACATCAAAGCAATTTCCCCGGATTACTTAAAACAGCATCGAATATACACTGGAGAATATCGCCGCAGTTTCGGTTGCGCAACGTAATGTCCGAATTTGTAATTTCCTCGGTAGCATTGCGAGATCATGTACAAACACGGGCTTTTCCGCATGTTACGAATTCCGTGCATGCGACGAAGCGTGGCTCCGTCGCGCGGAAATCCTTTCAATTTCAGATGGGCTTTACAGCGTTGCGCGAATCGAGCAGCGGGCTTATTCGCGCGGCAAGTACTCGGTACGTTAGCGCGCACGTCAATTCGCAATCAATGGACGAATTCAATTTTTTTCCGGCGATCTCTCTGAACTCGATCTTCGTTCCGCGCGGATTGATTAAAAATTCCACGTGATTTTCGTATTTCGCGAGAAGTATATATCGAAGAATAAAATTAAAAAATTAAAAAAAAAAGAAGAGAGAAGAAGAAAAAAACGAAAATAGATTCGATACTGTTTCGCGAGTTGATGCGATCGTTCTGTCTCGACGGTCGAGTTTGCCATCGGCCGTTTATGTACGCGGCACACATCTACGTACACACGTAGATTATACGATAACGGGCGCGCAAGCGGCTGGTCCCCATGTTTTCGCTGTGACTGCCATCACCCCGTCGCCCATTTTTCCACCCTCACACTGTAATCCTCCCGCGTCCCGCTGTGTGCAAATAGCGCCTATAAAACACGCACGGTAAATTTGCCAGCGACGATTCGCGCTGTTTTTGTAGTTGGTGTTCTCTCTCTCTCTCTCTCTCTCTCTCTCTATCTCTCACTCTCACTCTCACTCTCATTCACTTATCCTCTCTTTCTCTCTTTCTCTCTTTTTCTATTTCGACGGGCTTGCCAACAACGAAGTGCCGCGGCGGCGAATCGTCGTCCGAACGTATACGAATTTTACAGTGCCAGAGATAGGCACGTAGGCGTGGCCCAGGGGATGTAGGAGCAACGGGGCGAAAGGGGGTTAAAATTTTGGAGAAACAACGCTTGGAGAGGCGCCGGCGGACAGGCAGTCGAGCAGCGAGAACCATTTTCTCCCTCTCTCTTTTCCTCTGTGTTGCTACCACACGCGAAATTTCAATATGCATCGTTTGACAGATGTGGCGCATCGCTCGGATTTTAAATGCAAATATAAATCTCCCCGCAGCTCGTAACGAAATGGTGGGGTGAAGGGCATAAAGTATACAGTTGTGTAGGCTAGCTGAAGGAAAACGGAAAAAAATTTTAGACAGTGTCTATTTTATATGAGATCTAGATAATTACCATTTTTATGAGTTCTAGATAAATATAAAATAACAGATAATTGTTCTGTGTGTGTGTGTGTGTGTGTGTGTGTGTGTGTGTGTGTGTGTGTGTGTGTGTGCTATCTGCAGGGACTCGGACCGAACCGAAAATGGAACAGAAAATCGTTTTAGAACCCTTTTTTTTTAATAAAATGAAATCGAAACAGTACCCAAATTTTGTATAAAAGTTTATAATACCGAAATTGTAACCGAACCGGTAAAATTGTACGGTGTTTTTCAATTCTTTTTTCGGTTCTTAATCTTTGATTCTTTGAGTTCTTTATCCTTGTTCTTAAACTTTATCCTGCCCGTTCCTTCGTCCAAATCACCAATCCAGTATCACCGTCGCCATCTCTCTTAACAACTGGAATGCAAATATCTTATATGATATAAGGAATCTGGCGGAATCGCGAGACATATTTAATGTAAACTTTTTTTAAGATACTAGCATTTTTTTCACTTAGATTTTTCTTACCAACATGTTGCAAAAATTTATTCCAAATCATGAAATTCAAGAATACATTTGTAGACTTTATGTAATAAGTGAGATCTATCTACATAAGAACAAAATAAGTTGTAAAAAAGGATCGGGAGAAATATGTTTAAAATAATGTTTACGTAATTTTTGTTCATAGTTACGTGATCAGATTGACGCCTCTTTTCTATTAGGCTGTCTAGATTGAACGGGTGAACACGATCTCTCTCTTTCTCCTCCCTCTCCCCCTTCCTCTCCTTAATAGAATAAATTTAAAGAATAAATAGAATAAAGCAAGTAAGTAGAACCGAAAAAAAAACCGTCAAAAAACCGTAATTTTTACTGTTTCAGTTTTCTTTACTAGTAAAAAATTAATGAAACTGAATGAAACCGGAGCATTTATTTGATATTTTATTAAACCGGAACCGAAAAAACCTTTCTATCCGGATCCCTAGCTATCTGTTGTATTTATATTCATTAAAATTTCGTACAATGAGTTATTTTACACGTAGACTCGCAAATGTTAATATATACATAACATAATTCAAAGTAATTTCTTCATATATATATATATATATACAGGAATAAAACAATTATTTTATATTTAATATCCTTATATACTGTTTGCGTTTTTTTTAGAGACCTCAGTGCCGGTATTCTGTAATTCTTAACGACAGTTCATTATTGTTATTGCATAGATTTTTGTATTATATATACACACACAAATATACAGGGTGTTTGGCGACTACCGCATTTTTTGTCATACGTGGGTAGAACAGCCTATACTGAATCAAAAAGTCCTGTACCATTTTGCGGTGTCAGCAATAGTTAACAAGATATTAATTATTAAAAATTGCAAAATATTGGTCTTGAATAATTTTTTACTCAAATACTATCAACTTTACAGAAAAACTGCGAGAGACAAAAATCATTTATTTTCATCTCATAAAGTTCTGAGAATTTTTTCAGAATTTTTTCAGAATTTTTTAGTACCGTATTTTCTCATGTTGGTAAAAATAAGAAAATGGCGTCAAAATGGAGTACTAAAAAGTTGATAAAAAATTTTTAAAAAATTCTCAGTACTTTATAAGAAGAAAATAAATAATTTTTGTCTCTTGCAGTTTTTCTGTAAAGTTGATAGTATTATTATAAGAAGAAAATAAATAATTGTTGTCTCTTGCAGTTTTTCTGTAAAGTTGATAGTATTTGAGTAAAAAATTATTCAAGACCAATATTTTGCAATTCTTAGTAATTAATATCTTGTTAACTATTGCTGACACCTCAAAATGGTACAGGACTTTTTGATTCAGTATAGGCTGTTCTACCCACGTATGACAAAAAATGCGGTAGTCGCCAAACACCCTGTATATAATACATGTTTAAAATAACGATATGGATATTGTTGTTAAGAGCTGCAGCATGGGGGTCCAGATGAATATGGATACTATCGTTAAGAGCTGCAGCATAGGGGTCCAGATGAATAATTTGCGTTCTATATATTTTTATTTAAAAAGAAGTACATAAAACTGTTATAACATTTCATGACATTTTATCGCGCCATATTGATTAATTCGCCGTGCATTTTACAGGAGCACGATATTTTTAACTTACATATTATTGGTAATGAACACATACACCAATAAAAACGAGGAATTCACATTTGTCGCTCGATGCACTCAATACCGCGTATAAATCTGCAGTTGTAGGAGAAATTTATCATTCAGGATGTTCTTGTCCGTCAACATACAAGACAGAGTTTGAAAAGCATTTATTCAATCCGACGGTCGCAAACAGCAGTACGGGGACCTTGTTTAATTATATTATTTCGAATGGCATCAGTCATCAACGAGAAATGTGCCGCAAACTTTTTATAGAGCGCGAGGGTGCTTCACGTTTCATTTATTTAAAGCCAAGCTGAGGCAAGTTCCCAATATTTCCGCTTTCCATTCCGTACGCGATGGTTGGATTAATTTCTCATAAATCGCCTGCGGTTTTCGTTGATTGGGTCACGGTTTCATTTGTGCCTCGCTCCGGGACACGCCGTTTCCGATCTGAAGTAATTAAGTGTCGCGATCGGCACGTAGCTCGATATCGAATATCTCGTTCCCGTTTGCTTTTATGGACGTACAATATGATATTGACATTGTCGAGAAAACCACCAACTGAACGTGTGACATATTACGATACGATACCCCATTTTGGGACAGTTGCACTCTCTCTTTCTCTCTCTCTCTTCCCTCCTTTCCACTTTTTCTCTTTTATCCTCTTCTTTCCCCCTCTTATCCTTTTTCACTTTCAAATAGTTTAATAAAAATTTATATTTGATGAAATATTTTATGTATAAGTTTTGCAGATTTTTCTAATAACTTAGATAAGAGTGATCTACATTCTTACAATAAAACGTATTTAAAAACATGGATAGTTTTTAATTATAGAATTGTAGGATGCCAAAGTTTTCTCAGATAACATACGCTTTTTTCATTTATATAGAATTTTGTTTTATTTTAATGAAAAATTAAATTAATTTATTTTATATGATAGAACATTCCACACACACACACACACACACAGATATAATAAAAATTATTTAATTTTCTCACGTATAATTTATAATAACAGTAAGATTGGAAAAAAGTGCTATCTCAGTTCTTATGAAATATGCTATATCTTATTCGATTCTTCGAAGTCATCGAGATGGACCATAATTTCTTACGGAGATAAAATCTAATAGTCTCTGGACGCAATTTTCTCAACCATTGACGGTCTTTCCACTATATTGTCGTTAACAATGGAGTTATGCTCCACGGGGTGTTTGTGCTTAGGGTGACCATTATTGAAAATATGAAGAATGACTCGATCGGATGCTATAATCATTTTTTTTCGTATTTTTTTTGGTACACTTGTAATAACAAGTGAATTAAAAAATATGAAAAAAGCGTTTTTATGGAAAGATACATTAGTTTATATTGAAATTTATTCATATCACGATATAAATACCTATTTATTTATTTTTACAGCTAATAAATTTATAATGATATGCATTATGTTAATTCGATAATGGGATAAACATTTTATTCGTACGCAAAAATCGTATTCGCGACAACTTGTAAATAAATGCATGAAAATTGAAAATGGATATATTTAATACCTTATTTTATAATTAGTTATTTATTTTATGTGCAGTCAGTAGTTTTTTATAGTCGAATTAACAGCACGAATACTATATTAAAACTATATCTCTTGATCAATAGAGAAGGTTATAACAACTGTTGAAAATACCGCTAATTATTGTTTCGTTTTAGAAGCGCATTTTCTTCATGAATGTGTTAAAATCGTTTGATCATGGCATGTGAAATCGCCTGGTACAAATGTTTTCTATTCAGTGCGTATCCATTTCATTTAAAGAATTATATAAATGTTCAGTTTCCAAAACATTTGGCTAAATTACTGTAAAATGCAAAGTCACGTGCAACGAGTGTCGAAAGTGTATGTTCATATGAAAATAATGTTGAAATATAGTCTCATTTATTGTTTAAATTTACTTATTTGCCTATCATTAAATTATGCCGATTCAAATAATTTGGAACTCGGAGCGCGTGGTGTGCGCGTCGAGATAAATATTTATTGGCTCATTAATTAACGTGTAAAGATCATAAAACTTTTATTGGAGACATAAAAAACACAAAATTTTCTCGTAATCGTAACTACTGTTATAATAAAAGAAAATAAAAATATGTCCCAGCAGGCGAATCGTCTAATAACGTCTAAAATAAAGAAAAACATGAGAAGTTAGCCAACGATCGAATGGCTGACTACAGCAGAAGTTCGTCGAGCTATCCTTGTTTCTTTTTCTATCAGGTATATAAATTTAAAGAAAAGCCACGGCAGATAATGGTACGAACGCAGTGACGTCATCGCCGTTGCGTTCAGTGCTCGACGAACTGATAAATCGAGAATTTACCGATGCCTACCTGTATTCCCGTAGTTTTGATCAATAAAACGCAACGCGTTCATTCGCGCAAACGCTCCTTTTTATCTTCGAAGTCATAAACATGAGAGAAAAACGATTGTCTACATCACCAATTTCGCCGGCAATCGCAAACTACAACGACTCATCGTTATGGTTGCGATCTCACGCAACTTTTAACAGCAATTCGGATACGAGAAAGAAATGCGCGTGTGCCGCAATAATTTTAGATCAACCTTCGCCACTATCGTTTCCGGGATGCAGGATGCGATATTACCCCAGTGTTCCGATTCGCGCGCGACCGCTCGCAGCCGACATGGTCTCTATCTTCCGCTGTAAATAGCGATTTTATAATTCATGGTATGCCGTGTTTCATCCGGTCTATCGGTGAACCACCGAACGGCCGATATGACCGGTGGTAGCCGCGCGTTACCACTTCGTTACAACCACAGTTGAATTAGAGTTTATTTCACACGAATGTCCGTACGAGATAGAACGGCTCGCGGTTGGCTTTAACAATACTCACCGCAAAACTTTAATTCTGCAAAACTTTAATCCTTAAATCTTCTAGTAAAATCATAATAGTGGTATTTGCGTAGCAGTATTCATTTTTGCTCACAGATCGAAGCGTAAGGTGTTGTATACACCGATATTTGTAATATTTGTAGTAGAAAAAATGGATTTGTTATAAAATTGTAGATACTGATTTCAATATTATAAAAGCCAACATCGATATCGTCATTTTTTGAACTTCTTTTATAAATACTTTTTTTATCTGCCGTTTTCCATTTTGATATTATTTAGACTGAATTGGTCATGTTGCTGCAACGTGCATGTTGCAACAACATGACTATCTCCCAGTAGGACGTATACGATCGATCACGAGCGATTTGAAACTGACCCGATGTGCTCGGAGACACGTGAGATTGCTAAGTCACGTTGCGATTACAGTCGGTTCGGACCAGCCGAACGTCAACGTTGTCGCTGGCGTGGGTCGATATTGGCATTGATACTGGATGAGGGGTGAAGCTATTCGATATACATAGGCACGCGTTCGATTAACCGGTACGAAAACGCTGGTATTGTCAATGCTTCGAACCTGCTCTAACTGCGTCCGCGTAAATGTTACAGCCTTGATAACAATCAGGATTATTCGACTGACTGAATGTGCACCGGGACAATACGGCGTTCACTTTGAAATCACAAGATTTATTCGCTTGCTTGAAAATTATTGAGTTACAATTATGCGATATATTATGTCTATGACGCACGTCGCATTAAAGCTACATTTTTTTCTACATTACGTGAATTGTAACCCGTAATATTCGCAGTGCAATCGGTTTGCTGTACAAAAAGTGATGTAGATTTCACGCTTTTTCACGCGATAGAATCTTTAGATCGGTGATATCTCGGTAACGAGTTACAGTGACAGATTATAATGTATGAATCGTTCTTTTTGTGAACTATAATCAAGCGTAAACGGTTCTGAGATAAAGAGAATAAAGTAGAACGAAACTAGAGCTACGTTATATGTATAGATATTTTACACGGAGATTATCGAGTGTGAAATGCTACAGTCAAGTTTATGAGTCAAATATACAGGGTGACGATCCGCACGATTTTTCAGACATTTCTGACAGTTAAAAAAAAATTGAAGGGTGAGTATTCATCTGTTTTATATAGCCTACAACATGCGAGAAAAAAATTAAAAAAATTTTTTTTTCATAAGGAAATCATCTTAAATTTTTTAAATAGCATCATACAATTTTTTTTTCCATAATATTGTAGGAGTCTTCAAGACAAATTCAAATCACGGTCGAAATATCACTTTTATTTTTATTTTATTGATTTTATTGCATATTTTATTAAATAAGTACGTATGTATATATGTATGTATGTATATTCTGTGTTTTAGTCAGAAGTCGTAAGTACTATTGTTACAAATAATTGTTACAAATTTTATATTACGTATCAATAAAATCAATAAAAGTGACGTTTCGATAGTGATTTGAATTTGTCTTGAAGACCCCTACAATATTATGTAAAAAAATTGTATGGTGCTTGAATTAAAAAATTTTTTTAATTTAAAATGACTTTGATCTTTTTATTAAAAAAATTTTTTTTTTAAGATTCTTTTATCGCATGTTGTAGCCTGTATAAAACAGATGAATATTCACCCCTTTTAACTTTTCTTTTAACTGTCGGAAGTATCTAAGAAATCGTGCGGACCGTTACGTTGACCATCCTGTATACATTGATACATATACTCGTAAGATCGCGAATATTGGTATCATTCTCGTCAATCAACTTTCCCTCTTTTACGCCTCATAAATACGATGTTCAGGCGTGAGTGGAAAAATCACGGATGAACTAGAGCGCAAGTGACGCGTAACAAAAGGGTGTGTTACTTACAAATTTATTTTATGGAGGGTGTCTTCGGATGTTGAATAATGACACTGGAATTACATCAGCGCGAAAATTTATAGTGAGGAAAATTTTAAACGTGCAAAGAGAGAAAGAGAAATAGAGAGAAAAAGGGAGAAAGAGAGGGAGAGATTCAATTTATAAAGAGGAAATAAATCTTCATTCTCTCCAGCAATTATGTATTGATTTCTATAATTTAAGGAATGGATCTCTGAGAAAAACGCACGCTTTTGCTCACGAAAATATTTTACAGTTTGCTATGCAACACAATTTTACACAAACCACGAAATAAAACGAATATAAATTATGTAACACGTTATAACACTGGCATTTTATTTTCCTCTTTGTTTCAGATGGCATTTAATGTTACGAGCGAAACGAGGAGGCTTCATCTATCGCGGAGACTTGTATATTCGTGCGTGGGAGTTACAAAGCGAGTCTCGTCAAAGGACTCATCAACATCAACGGAATCTCTGTATATCGGTTAGTAGTTTCGGTCATATGAGCATTGTATAGTAGCAAAGTGTTTCGTGGATTTAGTTAATTTATCGTTTCTCATACTGCCATCTGCTATCTTAATGCAATAGTACCTTTGTGTGTCTATCAAAGTGGATAATCTTATAAAAGTTATTACTAGCACGATACGATGCGCGATTTTATTTCGTTTCTACAAGACTTAAGATTCTTTGGTCATGCCGTGTCACCATAATTCTGATTAAATGGATGTAGCTCCGTTTAGTCTCTTTCCTTCTGTCTTTCATCATTCCAGTCCCATTTCAACTTAGTTTTCTCGAGAATGACTTGTTCCACTCATTAAAGATTTAAGTACTTGCACATTTAGCCACACATTATCCTCTTACCGTTTTGTCTGGTTTAAATCGCTTTTGTGATAATCACATGCACACTGATAATAATCTTAAAGCTGCCTTTTTGCTAGAACATTTATGAAGTTTCAGAAATGAGAATACCTTTCTGAAGTCATGCAAAGGAAAAATGTAATTTTTTCTCTTTCTTTGTTCAACGAATTTATACGTATCAAAGGAAGCACGCAAATAAACGTACATTATGCACATACTTAAAATTTTAATCACACACATACATAAATCATAAATCAAAATCATCTATAAATCATAGTGACATGATAGAATTTGAAATATTTGGGTGCGCGCAAAAGTAACGTCAGCCATGACTAAAAGCATGACGTACACAGTGAGTAAAATTTGCCAAAGTTACATAATTCTGAAATTGTATTTAGCTCAACTAGAAACTTCTGTATTTAAACTGATATTCAGCATTAATATTCTCAAGTTCTCATATTCTCTCGCTATTCAAAAGCAATACTATTAATTAATTAATGTACCGTATCATTACTGTGTACCATTTAACATTTGCAGTTATATGTCTTCAAATGTAACAATCATTTAATATCGCGTTAATTTCGTATATCGATAACGCTCTTCGCATTCATCATGAACAATCGTGAGTGAGTTACTACGCGTAGCAGTTTACCCCAGTTTACCCGTCCGTACAACGTACGCCGCAGTAATCTGTAAATCACGGAGAGATCGCAAATTTCGCTGGAGCATCGGCAATTGTCTGTTGTAGGAGAATGGATGTTCGAGACCGCGCGTGGCCAGCGTGTCGGTGCAACTCGAACAAGACAGCAACAAGTCGGAACAGCTGCAACGGGCGCCGCGTTGTAACGTGCGTGCTTGCAGACAGCCAAGAAAAGGGAAGACGCGTGTAACCGCGCCCACCCTGCTCGTGCAGAATTTTCTGGAGACGCTTTAGTCCGCCCCGATTGGGGAACGGGTCTACCTCCTGCTCGTTCGCCAGCTGAAAACAGGCCGTGAAAGATGAAGGAAGAAGCGCGATACTCTGACCGCGTAGCAGCCTCGTCCGACGATCGTCAGCGACGAAGAGAGTCCTATTATAGTGGAATGCCTGAATATTTTTCGTATGCTGTGTTTGTGTGCTATCTAGGACCGCAAGCCCGACCTGTCGCGGATCAATCACGATAACGAAATCTAAGAAGGTACGCATATATCGTTATCGTTTATATATATGTGTCCTCGCGTTCTTCGTGGCATCCTGTTTATCCTGTCGATCGGACAGCGACGATGCGAGTCGCGGTCTCTTCGAAAGAAATTAAGTCGCTAATAAAAACAAAAAATTCAGAAACAGATGCCTGCTCCGTAGATAACTTTGGCTTCGAACGTCGATATAGCGTTCTGAAATCGTTCGCCAGGACAAATGACAATGTGCGCTAATGGTGAGAATCGAATGCTAGAATTAAATTCCTTGAAAATTATTTTGCCACTTTTCAATTCAATATAAGAATATTTAACGAGAGAGGACCAAGGGAGATTCGAGCGATTAACTGTGTGCGACGAACGATTCTAGCAAGTTGGTTAATAAACGCGTACTTAATCGGATATGACTTAGAGCCATGTGCGTTCAAGTGTGTATCTACCTATACTTTTGAAACGTGATAATTGTAATTGGTAATATAGTTACATGTAGTACGACGTGTTTCTATAAATATTTGCTGTATCTCGTGTGTGCTTTCAACGTTTTTACGATGTCCGTTTCGGTGCAGCGATAAAGCTGTACCGTTGTATATGTAATACCAGAAAGACGAAGTATTTTAACAAACAGTATAAAAAATTAAGGATTGCATTCGTGAAAAATATTTCGACAAAATGATTTCGTTCGGAAAGTCAGCGAAACTATAATTATTTCAAAAATATTTGATATATATGAGTGGTTATCATCATATTAAAAATAAATCGACCTTGTTCTCAAAGAGTCTGTACGCATAAACATTTATAATTTTCATTACCAACAAACACATGCACACACATACGCACACATATGCATACACTGTAAAAAATGAAATATTAACTTTAACTTTATGAGGTATAGTGAACTTCCTGAGAAATGCAAAAGTGTTAAAATTAACATTTTTGTGTTAATTTTAACATTTTTGCATATCTCAAAAAATTTATTATACGCCATTAAGTTAAAATTAACATTTTATTTTTTATATACACAATCATTCTTTGAGATACAATATTTTTTTCTACGCCGAAGATGGAAGTTGTACACGAAAAATGAAATTATGATGAATTTTATCTTTTTCATAATAAAATATGACAATAGCGCATGAGAAGAGAATACGTATATACTTTTGAGACTCTTTTTCTCGGATCGTACTTTGTGTTCCTCTCTCGTAGATACGCAATTTTACGCACGTAAATACACGGTGCCAATACTAGGGTAATGAATGTGCCGCTAATCTGTGGCGTTTGGTATGGCTTTTGTATGAAAATTAAAGAAACAAATAATTTTAAAGAAATACATTCTTCGATGAGCTTGGTACGGCAATGTTCTATTGCAAGTATATCGTAAAAAAGATTTCTATATGAAAGCTTTTTTCAACATTTATGAAGAAGGGAGAGAGAGAGAGAGAGAGAGATTATCTCTGTAGTATTTTTTATATCGATTAAATTTTAATATCAAAATTATATTATTACTTTGACTGTAATACTGAAATTAAATAAAAGAATTAAATAAAATATTGCTGGAAACATTTAAAATAATTTAGTTAAAAATGATTTAATTAAATCAATTGTCTTTTGTGATTAATCATTCAGCATATAACGTAGGGGAAAATAAATAAAATATAATCTGTTAACATTATTATACAATGTGACGGATTTAATTTGTATGTTATTTTACGAATACTTGCAAAACTTTGTCAAAACTTAATAGAAGACCAATGTATATACCTGTATACAGAAAAGAAATGTTACATCGAAAATTTTGTCGATGCTTATTAAACTTCTCTACTATAAATTATTGTCATGTAATATCGTTATAACAAACTCGAGTAAATAAATTTTGGCCATCCGGATACAACGGCCTGTGGTATTTCGCAGAACGCTGCGAATAGTGGGAAAAATGCAACGAAACGAGAATAAGATCTAAACTATAATGGTATATGGAAATGGTAATGCATATGTATGAAGTTACATTTTCAGTTACTATATTTTTCTGTCTGCGACTTTTGTTTGTTATTTGCAGCTCGAATATCTTTATTGCAGTATTTTATTTTGTGATAAACATTAAATAGAATATATAAAATTTCTTCGTATTAATTTGTATCTAATATCAATTACAACATATGAATTATATTTATTTATTACTTTTAAATTCTATGTAGATGAGTATATAAATTTGATTATATTATCCTATATTAACAATCAATCAAATTTGTAAAAAATTTAGTTAATAAAAACGTTAACATAATGTGTAAATTATGCGTTAATCGGCCAGCGTCAATCAGAGTTGCATAAATTTTGCGCAAGCATAATACTATCATTACGATTAAGAGATGAGGAATTAAGCTTTCTCCTCGTAGAAATCATACGAATGAAGCTATTAAAATAAGAGGTCATAGGAGAGTTGCTCATTAGCTAAGGTAAGAAATAAAATACGTGGAAGCTAATACATTTAATACAAGGTATGGAAGTGAGCTGAGTATTCTATTTTTCGTACGTTTAAGCCTTAGGCGTTTCTCCAATTTTAATGGAAAATAAGCATTTAGCATCACTGCATTTCATTATGAATTTCATGAGATAGCATAGTTGCATATATAAAAATTACATTACTCGTGACAGATACGTCTATTCTGCTATATTAGTGAAGACAATTTTGTGATATTACGTAATGGTAATTAAACGTTGAAAAGATCCGATGGTTAAAAATAATTTGCAATTCATATAGCTGCAGGAATTGAGCCCCGTACTTTCTATGTAAATGTCAGCAAATATAATTCGATATATATTACAATACATATTTTATTTTTATTCTAGTAATCTCTTTTTTTATCAGGACGTTTGGCCGATCGACAAATCCAACAGCCAATTAGTGTTATTATCAAACGGAACTAACGGGTGAAATGTATCATGTAATAATTAACATTATCGATCCATTCAACAGCACAGAAAGAACATTTTTAAAAAGGTGAAAAATTGGAAAATTCGCGATATTGAAGTGTGAAAGTTTGGCATCAGAAATTGAACGTGGGGCCGTGTATAATTAGCCGCAATTTGATTAGTCTAGGTTACTACTCGATAGACCAGTTTGTATATCTAATTACGATACGTTATTACTCATACTCATTGTGAATAATACAGCAATTATAAATTATCATAATAAAGTGTATGTTTATATACATATATCCACGTATGTTTGATTTATGTGCTGGTATCCGACAATATTGGCGATTCCAGACTACCCATACCTAATCAATTATCCAGTTTTCCCTCGTTTAATTATGGTCGTCCGGCCAAAATTGCGGTCTCGTCGACCAAGCTACGGCAAATTTACAGATCGCCCTTCCTCCCACGAGCATGGCAAGAATAGGTCGACAAACTTTAGCCGGAACTAACATGATAGCACGGCCATAATTTTCATTAAGTGTGTAATGTGCATTTGTTACTGCAATTGCAATAATTTATCGCAATTACGGATATGTATTCACTGAAAGATTGTTTATTTAGTATCGTCAACCTGGTGCATTTGCTTAAATTGCAAGAATCGTGTAAAATTGCATTCATTTCTGTACCACGCAAATATTCCAATTGAAACAAATTTTATCCGATGTTGATTATTTAAATAAATTTTTTGTTTTTAAATAAATCTTTTGTTTTAGAGTAATAAATTTGTCTGCGCATACATAGACTTTCCTACACAAATGAAACGCGAGTCGACGGTTGAAGGACCGACTGAGATAAATAATCGTACGCGATTCTTTTTATTTTGTGAACAAATACACGCATAACTGGCACACACCTAAGCAAATCTACCAAGCCGCGCGCAGGTGGTTTTGAAGAGTCGCTGGCATTATGTTCGGCTCACAATGAGCGCGTACTAACACTCTCACTCTATAGTCGGCAACGCCTGGAAATAATGGAGCCCGCCGCAATGCAGAATTTCGGTGCCCCGGTAAGTATCGTGTAATTTTAACGGTAATTGCCGGCGGTTTAAATGCGCCACAATTGAAATAACCCTTATACCACACCACTATTATAGAATGTCAATGTAAAGGGTGTGTGAGTAAAAATAAGAATTTGAAATTTTATACTATTATATTGCAGTCTCTCTCTTTTTCTCTGCTGCAGCAAGCTGACGTTATTTGTCAATTTTAACCTCAAAATGACGACAAATAATATCGAAGCTGAGACGCTTCGTCACCACGTCATTTACCAGAAAACGTTATTTACCTACATAATAACAATTTCGAATTATCAGGATATTCTTACGTCGAGAAACTTCCTAGTTTTGCGACCTCGGTCTCGATTTTCTAAAAAGGGGTTAGGTATATATGCTGCATTTCAGTCACGTACAGCTAGCAAATTGCTTTTCACCGAGATCTTTGAACTTGTACAAAATTCTTCTTTTATCATAACGTTCTTTCGTACCATTAAAAGCGCTAGAAAATCACGCGCCGATTCTATGGTCAGCGACAGCTATTCCTTTCTTTTAGGTGAAGTTCGCGCTATTGACTTTTACGACTCTATATCTCATGTCTATGTAACAAGAAAACGAAAGCATTTATAGATGCATTGTGCGCCGAGCCGCGCGTGTGCGGTTTGATTTACATTGTGCGAAAGTCGACTATCACGTTTTCGATAGGCGGATTTGCCGATAATAGCAGATGGATCTGCATGATCCGGGAACCAAGTGGGAATACGAATCCGGACATTATCCTGGCGCACCGTGACGGCTCGCTAACGTAAAACGGATGCATGTACGTCCCGCTGCATCGAGTACGGCTACGTGATCCGTATATTCGCTCCAACGCAACGGCCCGAGATACAAAGGTCACGCCTTCCTCCGTGCCTAATGACCCTTAACCTCTGTCCTGAGGCCTGGGATCTTTTAAACGTTGACGTGTGACGCTTAACGGCAGTCTGATGCAGCCGACAGCTAACATCGTGAGATCCGACTTGCGTATTATTATGAAAGACAATAGCCGCCGGGCTGAGTAGAGGCGGTCCAATGTCGGATATTATAATCTCGATTCCCCAATATTCGCGCTGACCATAACGTCATCGATACCCCGAGATCATCGGCGAAGCTGATTAAACCATTTTCGATGTACGCCTACATTATTTACGCGCAGGCTCGCGCAAAATCCTTGACCAACTATGCCCCGTCGATCTATTATCTTCGTGTAAAGCGGATTTACGTACGAATACAATCGGCTGGTTAAATTAACGACCCCGTACTTTCCATCCTGCCGCCACCGCCGCCGCCATGCATAGCCATGATGCATCGTCGTTACGATAAAACTCTCCTGGGAGGCATGCACGAGCGTCGGGATAAAGCATCGAGATATTAAATCGCGACCGCGTCCGGACACTTATTTTTGTCTATCCCTGTGAAATCTCCGTCCGGATCGCAACGTATTAGACGTATTTCATGTAGGGACAAGTTGTCCATATTGGTATGAGAAGAAGGGATCAGTGACACGAGAAAAGCATGGATGTCGACACATATCTTGTGCTCGCGTGTTACGTTATTTTCTTTTTTTTTTCTTTAATTTATTAATGTTACGTTTCTACGTGTATCGAATACGCACGTTATTTGTCGACTACTATGCCCTTCGTAGGTTTCTATTCCCTTGAGACCGTTTTATCCCTACATTCAGCACATTCCTTACTGCCGAGCGGTGAAATGGATGAGAGGGTGACCAACCTGAACGACGACGCTTTCCTTTCTGTCACGATGAACGTCGCGTGATAACGTCTTGAAAAGTATACGACAGGAATTTTCAATGGCATGAGTGGATACG